GTCAAACCAGACCAGTGATGGGCAATTGCGTCAAAGATGTGAAACTGCTGAAATATAGCTTATTCTTCATTTTGCTGGACTATAAGCTTATTTCAGCTTTGTACAGCATACAGCGAAGTTCAGTCATTGAGCTTTCCACACCGCAATTATTGCAGCCTTTGTACCTATAACGAAGGTTGGGAGAAAAAGTAAAAGAAAAGGCGTGTTGAACACGTGTATTTATTTACAAATGTATCAAATGGCTACGCACTCGATCGGTGTACTCTCAATGGATCGAGGCCGAGGCGAGAGTGACCTAAATTTTTATTCGACACGCCACGCATATTATGTAGGCAGGAATGTTGTCACAATGTGCCAACATGGCTGCTGTTGCTATGCCTACTTATTTTTTGGCGTAAAGCGTGATTTTATGATAGTGGAAAAAGGGGAAGGAAAATCAATTTCAATGCTGAAGTTATAGTAAAGGCGACCAGAATATTAATTTGTGGATTTTTCCGCAATTCTTCCATATCATCAAGGTGTTTTGCGTACATAAGTTGCACATGGTCAAGCATCCCGGAAACCCGAACATACAATGAACCCGTACAAATTATAAGCAGTCCACACAAACACTTGTTCTCTGCGGGATTGGAACCCGTAGCAGTGTAACACTGCAATCCAACGCTTAACCACTGCGACTGCCGCGCGTTGAACAGTTATTGTATAATTAAATGCTTCGTTGGTCTAGTGGTTGTAGTAGTGCGACTGCTGATCATGAGGTCCTGGATTCGAATCCCGGGTCGGACCAAAAAAATAATTAATGAGTTTTTCAAGAAATTCTCAGTAGTTGCCCGGAGTCAGGAAGTTGGCGGTGTCTCACCCCCGTGCCTCGGAAAGCACCTAAAGCCGTTGGTCCTGCGTCTGATCTCTCTCCGGTCGTTTTACCGTCCCAAAGGATTATGGGAGTGAGGGAATAGAGAGTGCACCTGTGCTTGCGCATACACTTGGGTACTATAATCCTGTACTGCGCCGTTGGCTAGTCTCCGTTGAGGCAGGCCGCTGTGACCGAAATTCGGTCTGCAGGATTATTAATTAAATATCATAAACTGTGTAAAATTATGGAATTCAAATTATTACTCAACATTTAACAAAAATAAGCACTACTGATGAAACCTTAAAGTTTTTCGCCTTACAAATGAAAGTTATATTAATTGAACGTTATAAGCCTATTTTAGGGAATCTTATGAATAAGTCCCAAATTTAATGAATTGCCTCCTAACTACATACATCATTATACGGCCATCGTTGGATATTAAGCAATCAAAATTAAATATTTAAAAGTATGATAGTTATATTTTTTTATTGTGAGTAGATTTTATCCGGTCGAATTGTCAGTTATTTAAAGTGCGCGTATCGCAGGCGGGTTAATTAGTGACAAGGCCGAGAGCTTCCCACTGGCAGAGATGCTCCACGTTACCAGAGTGCGGAACTTGGATTCGGAAATGTTTAATAGACTCCACCACAATCGGTATCAGAACCCCGTCCATCGAACAATAAGATGTATTAAGGTAATGTTGGCATTCGTAGAAGAATTTGGTATATTATTCCCGCTCATATAGTAAAATTCACATGATAATTCATCGTTTCATCGCCTATTTTATGGGGCAACGCCTATTCTAGTTTATCATTAGAGTTTTCGTAAATTTGTTTAATGTTATCTTTTTCGAAAAGTATTATTTTCGAAATAGATAACATTTTAATATCAATTTCTTCGTTGTTTAGTTTGGTTTAAATATAGAAAGAAAATTTAAAATTTAAATCAATATGAATATAACAGCAACGCTAAAGGATACAAGAATCAAGAACGGGGACACAGATAAGCAGTATCTATGGTCGCGCCAATCTCAATTTACTGTGTTATGTAAACTTTACATCATGATAAGGAGAGATAAGAAAGTCTATGAATCAGACTACACTAGAGTTACCACGCATAATGATTTCGACGGATAATCATTTGTAGTTAGAATGCTAAATGATATTGTGAAAAAAAAAATGATAATCTACTTTTTTTGGATATTTAGTACCCGGATGATCGAGCTTTGCTCGGTTTTTTTTTGAAATTACATTTAGATACAAATTACATACTGATGAATAATATTTTTTGATCTTATTGACATAATAGAAAAAACTGAACTGGTTATTTGAATAAAAAATCACGAGTGCAATTACTAAAATTTAAAATAAAATTTTCGTATTTTTAAAAAATACTAAAAAGGGCTCGAAATTATAGATTTTCTCACAAAAGAGAACTTGAAAAAAAAAGGAAAAAAAAATCGGAGCGAAGCCAGGACACGAACCAAGGCATTTAGATTTCGCGACCGCTCGATATCCACTTGAGCTATTACGACCATTAACAAAATGTCAAAATTTACCTTCCTATCTCATTCATTAATTGTAGCAGTTTTTCAGTGCCCGAAAACACTGACAAAAAGACATTTTCTAAAAATAAATCCTAGCTAGATCGATTTATTGTCCCCGAAACTTCCTGGACACTAAATTTTATGAAAATCGTTGGAGCCGTTTCCGAGATTCCGAATATATATATACAAGAATTGCTCGTTTAAAGGTATAGGATATTTTATATGACTATAAACGAATTTATTATTTAGTTGTTTCTTGTGGGATTCAAGCTCTCGGTCAAGCCAAATACTTGTCCATTGCGTTACCCAGCCATTTTTTTTGGTGCTAGCTTTAGACTTTCTTATGAGATCAAAATCTGTTAAAAATGATGTATGAAACTATAATTATTGACGTCTGATATAAGAGTATACAGGTGTTTGTAGTATCAGTTTCAATTACCACTTACTTCTGGATCAGGAAGAAAACCTTTCCCATCTTTTCTGGTCATAAATAGTCTTTAAACTTCTCTACCTTAATTGATTCGGATTATAATCTTGATCAAAATTGGTCAATTCAGGAAAAAGAGAAGAAGAGAGAAGCTGGATTTGACTCAGTTGTGTCTAAATCTAGAAAACTTTTCAGTTATGGAATCGTAATTTTAATGTAAGCCCTAATATATGTAAATGATAGGCATGTTCCTGGGGACTATAAAAAGACATAATTTATAGTCCTAACCTTGTTACACATGTACGATATACATATATATATACATATATATATATATATATATATATATATATATATATATATATATATATATATATATATGAATCCGTAAGCTTTGCAGCTGTGATACGTCTTAGACCCTAATGGGCCAGGAATCTTCGTAGTTTTATGAGCCTTACCTTAACCATACCCTAACAGAAGATGAGGATGCTTGCAGTAAAATGATTAAAGTGATGATGTACTTTTAATATATGTTTCCTTTGGAACATATAATTTTGTATCTTCGTCATATATTAATGTTAAAAAACATACTACTGTTAATATATTTTGAAGTTTAAAAATTATGGTAACACTAGCCACAATGATATGTTTGACAATATTCTATTTAATGAAACACAAATAATTTTGTTGTACTTTGTTATCTTATCTGCGTTATTTAGGGAAAAGAATAAGTATGTTAATAATGTATAAATTCAGTTTAAGAGTTTCTACCAGAACACACAGAAAGTTGCTCAATGTCAGTTCCTCGATGTCATGTCATATTTCAGTTTTGTATTACCAGTTTAAGTAATGATTCTAGGTTTTATCTCCATACCTAAAAAGTGTAAGAAAATAAGCTGTTGAACATATTTAAAAAAAGAATGGGTGATTAAGCGAGCACTGAGTATACCTGATATACCATAGATATTAGCATTCTAATCTTTGTTTTATATCCTAAGGTCTAAAATGGAAAGTCTCTCCTTGACCTCACCATACAAAAATGCAGTATTTTGTTTTTCTATTATTTTGCCGTTAATTTGTGCCGATATTCTGTGCAAGTGCGGCGAAATATATCCTTCGTATTAAAAGTTTTGTGACAACAATACGATTGAAATTAAATTATTAAAGAAAGCTTAAATTTTGATGGTTTCATTTGACAACATTGATGCCAAATGAAACCGTATCTAATGTTTTTTTAGATTATACAAGAAATTAAATAAATGCCTAACGCACGTGTTTTAGTTCTGTATTAAATTCTTATCCTGATTCATTTTACACTAGGTCATGTTATTGTTGTTTATGTGAGAATTTATTTTAATATTCAATTAATATATTACGCAAAAACCATTTTTTAATAGAATGAGGGTGACTAATGAAAGGACTAAGATGGAATGCCTCGTTTCCAGAAAAAAAGGGCCTCCGGAACTCTACACTCACCATAGGAAACACAGCAGTATTAAGCAGCTATTTTATGCTGATATTCTGTGACATTAAAGTAATAAAGCGTAAAAGTTCTGTTGCGAATAGTAGTAAATATATTTTCTAACGATAAAGATATAAATATAAATGAAAGAAGCTGTAAATTTTATTAATATTTCCGTAATTAAAATAGCGATAAAAATGAAGAATAATTTTGTCCATACAATATTCTCGCATAGCATCGCTTTAATGGATGAATTTGAATAAAATTAGCATTTTGATTACAAACTGGAACATAAATGATAATTTATGTTATTATCTTATTATAACTAACATAGGCATAATTTTGAATTATTTAGCCTTCACAAAATTTGAATATTGTGAACATTTTACATTTTTGTTTTGATTAATATTCCACAATATAATTTTATGGCTAAAATATTTTTCCAATAAAAAGTCATTAAAATTAAAAACAAAAAGTTTGTAAGTTTTCTTTACGAAACTAGTGATGTGCATATCGCTTATCAAGTCGAAGATTGACGCGCAATCACCGTGCCACATTCGTTCGTTGCGTCTTGCTCGCGTGCCGTGCGGAGTGTTGACCTTTTCGTCAATGTCTATAAGATTTACTGGTACCGCATCATTCCTTATGCATTAAATAATATTTGTTAAGACTTTAAAACAAGACGAAGTATAAGATCGTAATTCGTGATTACCTTGGCGGTCGAACGCGGAAGCCCAAAATCCAAGGTATATTACACAATAAAAAAAAGAAAAAGGAACACAAACACACGCGACTTTGCAATATAAAATTCGCGCGGGAAATTGCTCGAGTGATGCGATCGGCAATCGATTGCAATGAATCGATTTGTTACATAAGGCGCGCGGAGAGGCAGCGTCGTCGCACGTGACTGGTGCCCGTGTGACGGACGGAGCGAGTGCGGCAAGCATCGACCTCCCCCCCTTACACCACCACTTCGCCCGCGACGGGCTCCTCTACGTAGAGATACATAGAACAGACATTTGATAAACAAATTACAAATTTGATAGACGTTGAAGAGCTTCGCCTTTTAATGGCTTTTTACGCCTGAGCTTCGAAATGATCAACGAAAAATTTTCAGCGATTTCAAATTGCAAATTTAATTCCCATAAATTTAATATCGAAACATCCGTTATGGATTGGTAGAGCTCTAGATTTTATGTGACAAATGACACACTTGTTTAGCTTTAAAGTTTAGTCAAGAAGCTTCATCACCACCACCATTAAGATCATCATCATCATCCTGTAAATATTTCTAGCTTGTCATAGATCTCTTCCATGATGCGATTTGTTTTAATTGATGTCCAATTTTCAAGTTCAATTTACACTATCTAATATGTAGAGTCGATTTAGTTTAATTGATTGTATTCTAGTTTTAAGAAAAGGCAATTAAAAACAAAATTAATTAATATTTAAATTAACCTAACCGACCCAACTTCTTACCTATGTCATATCATTATTTTATTTCAAAATGAGGAACTCGAGTAATTGAATCATAACAAATTCGACTCTACATTTTCAATATAGACGAAGGTAACACAAGTAGGTACATTGTATGCATTGTATCGGCAGATCCCGTGCCGTCCCGCTCGCACATATAGCAGATTGTCTCCAGAATGCTTTCCCTGTCTAGCAGCCGAAGCTCGTATCAACGTATAAAGAATACTATCGATAAGTTTGTATATGCATTATCATATCAAGCGAGCGGACTGAACATAAACGTAAATTAGGAGTACTCGGAAATAAAATATGTTTCTTCTGATCAAAGTTATGCTTAATTTTGCTCTTAAGAAGGAAATACATGAATATTTTGTATCGAATATAAAGGATATTTTATTTAATATTGCTGTGTGGCTTTATATAACAGGGATAACTTTTTTTATAACGGTAAGGTTACAAACTTGCATAAAATTTACTTGATGATTGGCAGTTACTGGAGCCTCTACATCTATCCTCGATTAAAAATCAAAATGCAGACGTATTGTCACCCCTGAGGACTAAGACGTTTTTTGTTTTTTATCTGCTTTCCTTTGTAAAGTATTCAGTTATCTATCTTGATGTTAAGCTTGATTTAGGAACGTTACATATTTGTGCCCCGTGATAAATTTCTTTATTTCGTTTTGGACTTGTATGACTAATATATTTATTAGTACGTTAACATATTTATTGAATTGCCAATGTTTATTCTGAGTTACCGTATAAAATATTAGTTTATTTATCTCAATAAATATTTTGTTTAATTTTTTTAAGAATATGAAATAACAAACGAACACAGTCTACCGGATAGTAAGGGGATGCTGTGACCTGTAGACATTTACTCCTCTCTATCTTTATCTATCTATCTATCTCTAATATATCTCTATCCATATTTATCCTCGATTAAAAATCAAAATGCCTTGTCACCCATGAGGACTAACATATTAATGACTCATTTCCAGTAAAAAGGGTTACCGGTTCTCTATATGCGCCACATGAAACACAGCAGCATTAAGCTGCTATTTTGCACAAGTATTTTGTGGTATTTGTAATCAACTTTAAACGAAGGAGGTTAGTGTAGGTGCTCTGTCACCTTTAAGCACTATGATAAAGTGTTAACGTCGCTGCTCATTAAAGGGCACTGCTGATTACATAAGCCTCTCCTATATATTGATTTCATTTGTCACAGTTGCCACGCTTGGCACGTGGGTTGGCAACCACCATTTTTATATTTTTGTTGATATGATGATGCCTGCTGCCTGCCCGTTTATCTCCTAGTTTGTGTCCGTCAGTCACTTCTTACGATATCCACGTGACGGTATGGGGTAGTTGATATTCTTATACAGCCACCACGTGTTTCACGATAGCATATAGGTTACCTTTATAATAACTGGGATTGTATATACTTCCAACAGATTACTGAATGAACTGCTATTTAGCGGCAGAAACACGGTGGTGGTATCGAACAATGATATCTACCAGACTACCGCCAAGCTCATAGTCATCAGAAAGGGTGATATGATTTATGACTCATTGTTGCATCTATCTGGACAATCTCCGAGTTGTCAGAAAAGAAGTCCTACTATTAAAGTAATTATATTGAACTTCAAGTAGGTCATATGGTGGCGGTTTGAGATAATTAACAATTAGTGGTCCAGGCGTAAGTCTGCTAATGGCAATGCCAGGAGAATATTGAGGTATTCCATAAAAATATGTAAAGTTGCAAGTTACAGCCTTTATACGTCTCAGCAATAGACACAGGTTTCTTTTTCACTCCTGTGAGTGTTTCACCTTTTTATAGGATAGGGTACAAACGAGCACACAGACCACCTGATAGTAAGTGGTTTCTGCGGCCCATAGACATCTACATCTATCCTCGATTACAATCAAAATGCGTTGTCACCCATGAGGACTAAGATGGAATGCCTCGTTTCCAGTAAAAAGGGTCTCCGGTTCTCTACATTCACCATACGAAACACTGCAGCATTATGCTAAAATTCACCCTGGTATTGTGAGAGCGTTGTCCTTCCCCGGTCGAGCCGACCCATTCGTGCTACAACTATAATACTAATACTTTTTTTTTTGATTGTAAAAACGTTACCCCTACACTAAGATTTTCTCTTGTATCTTAGGGGCAGTTTACAAACATAAATTGCACAAGGACAAACATCCAGACCCGGAACAACTATTTGTAGGCCATACAAATATTAGATCCGTGCGGGATTCGAACCCGCGACCCCCAGCGCAGCCACTCATTGCTAGGCCACTGCGCCACGGAGTCGTCAATATAAATGCATCACGGCTCTACCACGTATAAAAATATTCGATAAATGGCGAAATGACCATATTCAAAATTTCCAAACGTAATATTAAACACCGACGCGCAAGGAATGAATATTTAGAGTTGTTTGAATTGGTTATCATTGTCCACCTAATGGACAAGTCGGCAACTCAGTGGCTAAGTATTTGGTTGCGGATTTATGGGCTTTGGTCTCGAATCCCGCTCGAAACAAAGGTTTTGTATGTATTACAAGTATTTAGTTTCAGTTCTAGAAGTTTGTCCGTTTGCAATTTATATATGTTAAATACCTATAAGATGCAAGATGTGTGTGTGTGTGTGTGTGTGTGAATTCCAGTGTGGGCCAGTGGGAGTTACGTTTCTTTTGAAAAAAAGAGGAAATGTGTAGACAATTGCAAACAACTTCAAATATAAAAGCTGCAGGGGTGATGTGATCAACTTTGATAACGAAGGTGAAATACCGTAGCCTGTAATTATACTGGCAATTTATACTAATTAAAATAATTTCATCCACCCAGACTTTAACAAAATAACTCTTTTAAATATTCTTCATTTTTATTATATTTGTTTAGCATACTTAATAATTTTTAAGATACCTCAAACCATAAAAGGAAAAGCTTCGTGTGTTAATCTTTTTCTAACACGTTAAATTATTTCCAGATAAGTTTAACTTGTGTAACAAATTTACGTTAGAGTTTCCCTTAATGAACAATTAAGTGGCTACGAGTTCCGCTCGTAGCAACGTAGCACGCCGTAGAAGCGTTCCGCCTGAGCTACATTGTGGTACTTATGCAAAAGAGCCCAATATTTCATCGCTCCAACGTCTATTGCAGCCCGTATTATCATAACAATCGCTTAGGCTACGTACCGAGCGTTTCGCTTTTAGTTACACCGCTTTAGCTCCACGCTTGTACGAAATGCATCCCTAATCGTATTTGTATGCTTTACTAAAGAATTTGTAAGTTCACGTTTTCATTATGTCAAAAGTAATTATAAATAAAGTGTTTTCCAATCACAGTCGTAAATGGAATTCGGCAAATTTTTCACCCAAATTTTTTTTAATGTTCGCGTTTGACGAACAAAGTACAACATTTCCATCTCAATACTGAGATAATACTCATGTATCACTCACCTCTATGCGTTGCATTTTGCTGCGAGATAGATTGGGCTTTAGCGAGCATTTGAAGGTGAAATTGCACAAAGAAACGCCGTAGTATGTAATTTGCCTTCAGTGTTTTTGTATTTAATTTTTGAACAGAACGGAATAAGTGTTCGTATGATGACGCCTACACATGATTTTTCCGGATCAGGATGTTTGTCTTTCTTCAATTTATGTATGTAAATATTTCTAGGGAAAATAATATCAGAGGAAAATGGAACGTTTCATTTCAATATAAAAAAAATAATAGACAGACTTTGCTCATGGTGGACTTAGTGTGGCAACTCAGTTTTTAATTATTTTAAGTTATTATCAGGAAGATGCTGCTGTCCTCCTGTTTCCCTGTGTTGCCACCTACGGGATGGTACGGGACAGCGGATTTTCTTACGCTACTACAAGGCGTTACTGCTCATAGTGGACGGTATTTTTGTGCATAAATTGTATATGAATATATGATATTGCGACTGTATTCTCCCAGGCTTTGGTAATCATAGAAAATCGTCACTGTAGTTTACCGCATCTTATGCTGAGTGATAACCTTTCTTGGCATCGGTACCGACTTACATAGTCATTTTTATATTTATGCTGTTTTTGTTAATATTTGTATATTGTTGTAGTGTATACGTCAATGGCTTGTGCCTAATTTAAGTATTTCTTTCTTATTTCGTATATAAGACAATCATTTAGATGAAGTGACGACCTGATAAGTAAGACATGCAGGAAGTCGATACATGCAGGTGCTTCAGGACCGTGCTTTGTGCGATTCCTTGGGCGA